ACAACTCTGTACAAGGTTTGCAGTTTTATGATTACAGATTATTATTTAGTTATTATACAATTTAAAAGATTATTTTCTTACACTTTCGACGATTTTCCATTTATTGAGAGCACTTCTATTTGTGAAGATGTTTCTTTGGAGGCTTTCCTTTCTTGTTATTCTTCTTCTGGTTCATCATCTTCTCCTTGGAGCTTTATAGGTACTACCCCGATACCGAAAAACGGAGAAACCGAAAAAGAACCGAACCGTTTTCCTTGGATATTTGGAATTTTGCCGAGAAAGTCACCACTGAGCAAAATGTCTGCTATCTCTCTTTTCATTTTAGCCTCCTGAATGGATGTGACACACACACACGCGCGCAAGTACACACAGACAGGCAGGGAAAGAGACGTATCCGGTATCCTGCGAGCCGCGTTTTGTCTGTATCCCAAATTTTGGTAAAGCCGCCGCAGCCTCGTGGTCCTTGCACTCCGCCATCACCGCTCTTCCCCTGTCGGCTGCCGTTCGATTCGATTAAAATGCGCCTCCACAAGTGTAGTAGTAGTAGTTGTACTACTATTAATTTACTATAACGAAGCGGCTTTGTTTTTTTTTTTTTCAAGCTTTCGGTTGTTTTGCAGTATCCTGTTCCAGGCGGTTCGTCCTGTTTGAGAGTTTCTTTCCAACTGCCGCTAGTTCGCAGCGAAAGCCTTAGTGGAGACCGAAATTTCCAGAGAGACCGGGAGCGCCGGAGAGCGGGAGAGAGCTTACGCTTGCGCGCGCCAAAAACAAGAAGAGGGATAGATAGGGATGCCCTCTCACTTCCTCTCTCTCGCAGCATCTGGCATGTTAGCTCAAGTTCAGTAATGCACAGTGGGGGCAATTATCCTTATTCGATTTCTGACATTCAGAATTATTAGTTATAATGCACCCTGGGTAAAACAAACCTTCTTTTGTTAAGCTGTAATCGCTACGAGCAGGGACAGTTATTTACTTTAGCTGGGTTCAAACTGGTTTACATCCTTTCTTTTCGCCGAAGTGAGTTATTTTACATTTAGCTATGAACATTTTTCGAACCGCATGCCCACTGTGCTGTGTCAACGCTGCCCATGGTGATGGAGGCAGCGGCTGAGCTGAGGCAGAAAGCCGGCTGCCGGCGAGGGCTGTTGCTCCTTTGAGCTCTCCCCATCTCCTTCCTACCTCTGCCCACCTTTCGGCAGCTTGAGCGTCAGCTTCATTTGACGTCGCGTCAGAAACTCTCGCCGGAGCTCGTGTGCGTAGGAATTGGGGTGGACCTCAACCGAGTGGCTATCAAATATAGCCAAATAAGTATATTTTCAGTTGAGGCTTCATAAATTAACCTTTTGTTTTTATAAATATGTAAAGGAATTACAAAAAAATTAAATAACTTAACCTGTAAACATTCTAAGAGTTTACAGCTTAATAGAGTGGTATATTTTACGTTTTTGGTCCACCCCAAAAGAGAGCTTGCACATATTTATTTTAATAGCTTGCGCCATTTGTCGAACTCCTTCTTTATTTTTGATTTTGCTTCGCCTCTCGCTCATCGCGTAAAGCCGAGACTTCGACTCGTTTACATATGGACAACAAAAACATATACATACGTATATATGTTTACATACATATATAGCACATAGAGTTTGCCCATCTCCTTCCATCCCCCCTTTTTAGAAGTCTCCTCTCCCTTTCGCTGACTGGACTGCCTTCTATATCAATATTTATTCATGTGTGTCCGTGTGCGTGTATATTTATGTATGTACATACAACTGCGTAACAACAAAACAGCAATAGCAGGCGACTTGTGCATAAAACAACAACTACAGCATCAATTTCACCAACAACTTTGGCTTGACAACCCCGCAAAAATAAGAAAAGGAATAAAGCGAACCGTAAAAAGAAGAAGAAAGAAACAAAAGACGCACGCGGTTGCCACGGAAACTGAAAACTTGCAGTTCTTGGCGCATAGTAAGGTATCTTGTGTGCGTGTGTTCACACTCTCGGGGCGAGAAAAGAAGCTGCGAGCAAAAACGAGATGAGAGCGCAACAGCCGCCGCGAAAAGGAGACAGACAAAACGAGGCAGAGCAACTCCCACCACCCAAATACAGTGATACTTCCTAAAAGTTAATCTTTGAAAATAAATACAATTTTGCAGAAACTTTCAATTCAATTCAACTTATTTAACTTTTAAAAGGTTTGATTCAAAATATGATTAAAATATATTAGTTAACATACGAAGATGTTAAGACTTGAATTCAAATATCGGATTACTATAGTTTGAGGTTATAGACGTTCGACTGTTCCAACTCCACCTCACATTCACTCCTCCAAATTCCGGAGAATTTATATCGTGCTGTGGGCAAATTTCTTCGTGTATTCCTCCCGAGTCTGTGGCCCAGAGATTATTAGGCTTAATTGATTGGAGCGTCGGTTTCGCCAAATTAATAATAGTTCCACACACAAGGACAATAACGGCAGGGGTCGGGGTGCATTATTGATTAAGGAATTAGTGCTCACTCCATTATTTTTGATAAGTTTGCGAAATGCTTGCTTCATCCACTGATTCAATTAGGGAAATTGAATGGAAGTTAAGAACATGTTATGGGGGTTTAATAGATCTAATAGTCGACAAAAGAAACTTTTCCAAAAATATTCACTGAAACCCTTGAATTATATTCGATTGGCTTGGAAATTAGAAAGAGCTTTTTGTTTAAAAAAAAGGGGAATACAGATTTGTAATCACTTAGTAAATAAGTTATAAGTATAATTTAACATTATTGATTTCTTTTGAGAATCGTAAACAAGGTTTTTTTATCATGGAAAATGTATAGACTTTATTAAAAGTGCAGTGATACTATCTTCTGTTACTACAGAGTAGCAACTTTTACAATAGTGTCGTGAAAAAATTATAAGAATAAAATATTTAAAGCATTGCAATAATGCCAGGATTTCATACATTTTTTTTTTTTGTGTTATAATCTTTTGAAAAATGATTAAAACTTAAACAAAACATAAATAATACTTCAATAGCTTGACCATGTTCAAGTTTTTCTTCACAACAGGGTTTTAGGGAAGCTACAGGCAAGAATGCTGAATTGACCTGATCTATGTTTAAAGAAACTGAACTTAATTCTTAATTTAACTCTAACTTAATGCTACTTGCTACTTTGCTGTTTTGTATTTCTATTCATAAGAACTTTGGATTCATGGCTCTGAGTATAAAAAACCGCTTTGGAACGATATCTATGATCACATTCTATTATTGTTTGGATTCAGTTCTTTTTCAGGTTTATTCCTGGTTTCATTTTACTTGTTGTTTTTTTTCTGCTTTTGTTTACTTTTGATTTTGATACTTGTATTTTGTAAGTTTGTTTAGTAAATAAATACTGCCATTTATAGCTGATATCGCTCTATATGATCGGACATTTGGCTAAGCCGTTGCTTTTGATTTGGCCGCCGCCCTTTCTTTTTCCCCTTTGACTTCTCCCGAACTGCTGGCAGCTCCTGCTCCTCCTCCTCCTCGATACTCTCCTCTAGGAGTTGGTACGGTATCTCAATATACTTGTCCACCTTTTTGGGGACTTCTACATTGCTACAATTGCTTTCTGAATCTGATTTAGCTGATCCGTACACACTACTGGAGCTGGTCCAACTTTCTGCTGTGTGATAAGAAGCTGTAGTATCATTGCCCTCAGAGGAGGTGTTCTTTGGTCTACGCGTCTTTCGGGGTATAAAATAGTTGGGATCCGTTATAAGCGGAAAGGTGCGGTAACCGTTTCGTGAGACCAGCAATGGTTCTTGCACCGCCTGGCGGCTCTCGGCGGTGTCCTCCTCATACAGTGATTCAGTTGGTAAAAAGTCCCCGGCCATGGACATCATTCCGAAGTGCCGCATCATGGCCACAGCCTCCAACTCAACTGTGCTAGTGTCCTCCCAGTCCGCCATCGTTGCATGCTCGCCCAGAGGCTTGGTGCCAGCTATCCGCTGGATTCGCTCCATCATCTCCAGGCTGTGACGGATTTCCCGGGCCTTACCGCCCTCTGCGGATCTGCTGTCTTTCATGCCGTCCAACTGTGCGTTCCGTTTCTCACGCGCCGCCAGATACTCGTAGGTGTTCTTGGGCCGGGGAACGAACTCTTTTTTTCGTCGCTCCTCGTAGTCCAGCTGGCCATGGATCAGATTGAAGTCCGGTTCCATATCCACCAGCTCATCCTCAAATCGAGAGCTCGGTACCCAGGCCATGATTGTTCTTGTGCAAAAAGAATTTGTTTAATTTGTTTTCAACGCCATCAGCAATAATTGCATTCTGCAATCAGCTCGCCCTAACCTCAAACAATGGTAGCATGCGTTTGCTGATCGCAAGGGCAAGTAACTCACCTTCTTTTGTTTAAAATCACACACAATTAAATGCTTAAACTTTAAATCCAAAATTCTTCCACGAATTTGTTTTTTAGAGCCAAGCAACAGGGTTGCCACGGCGCGTGGCACACGACAAGACGCGTTAGTGACAAGTGGACGACAACTAACTATCGAACCCACCGATATTTCTTTTCGCAAAAAAATTTAATAAAAATAAACAATTTTCTCTTAAAATAATTCATTTAAAATAAAGACTTTGCTCCCGAACTATTTTACAAGACCATTCGTATGAGTCGCAGTGTAAAATTAATCAATTTTACAATATATAAATAAATAAATAATAAAACAGTCTTGTATTAAATTGATTTAATCGTACTCTCACTAAACTAGTACGACATTTTAATTCAATTTAATTTTCCACATCGATCAGAGTTTATTTTATTCTTTTGCCATCTCTAGAGAGCACCGGCGTGGCGAGTGATATTGCGCCAAAAAGTCAAACAAAAGGAAAATGAGTAAGGGAAGAGGAAGAGTCAGCCAGTCATTAAATAAACAAAAGGAAATCAATGCATTCTGCGTTATCTAGACATCTTCACTTATATCCCAGCACTTTGGCATAAAATAAACATAAATTACGACTCACCAGCGGCGTCTGTTTTCGCACTTTTCCGGCTGCGTCCTTTGTTTTTGCAACGTCTGCACTCGATTCTCAACTTTGCCCTCAATACGCCAACTTGAACAATTGACCACTTCACTGGGGTTTCGCGTACAACTAGTTAGAAAGCATTCTTTTTTTCTCAGTAAAAATAATTAAAATTAAAATGCAAAAAAATCTGCAACGCTGCTAAAAAATTTACTTTGGCGATTAGTGTAGCTGCGTCGAAAAACATAAAATTAACCAAAATATGGAGATAAATATCGCATTAAATTGGTTGGAAAATATGGATTTCAACCTTCCATGGGAACTGGTCACACTAAAGTTAATAGTCTAAAACATTAAAAAATAAGTTTAATGAATGTTTATTGATCTTTTCTATGTCATCAATGCTTTTAATTGGCATAATTTGTATTTTTAAATTTAATATTTTATAGAAAAATAAGCTATACAGAAAGAAAAAATGTTTATTGTCTTAATTTTCATATTAAAGTTTTTTTGATTATATATTTGTTGATATGTTAATATGTAGCTTGGTGTTTTCATAAATATCTAAAATGAAAATGTAATCACGTACATAAAATTGTATTCAATCTTAGTACAATTAAGAAAAAATATTCATATTAAAAATTTTAAAATATAATTTTAAAATATTCAATATTACAATATAAAAATAAAATATTGTATTATTTTCTTGATCGTTCCGATCACAGCTATATGATATAGTTTCCCGATTAAAATAAAATCAAACCGAAATTCTAGAAAAATACAAAATAGCTATATCTTAAATTTTATGAAAATCTGTTGGAAACTGAAACAGTAAGAATTTTTAATTTTATTAATTTCCTGATCGTTCCTATCGCAGCTATATGATATAGTTTCCCGATTTAAAAAAAAATTCTAACCGAATTTCTAGAAAATCACAAAATAGCTATATCTTAAATTATCTGAAAATCTGTTCAAAACTGAAACTGGTATAATTTTTAATTGTATTAATTTCCTGATCGTTCCTATCGCAACTATATGATATAGTTTCCCGATTTAAAAAAAATCAAACCGAAATTCTAGAAAATCACAAAATAGCTATATCTTAAATTATATGAAAATCTGTTGAAAACTGAAACTGGTATAATTTTTAATTGTATCAATTTTCTGATCGTTCCTATCGCAGCAATATAATATAGTTTCCCGTTTAAAAAAAATTCTAACCGAAATTTTAGAACATTACAAAATAGGTATATCTTAAATTATCTGAAAATCTGTTGAAAACTGAAACAGGTATAATTTTTAATTGTATTAATTTCCTGATCGTTCCTATCGCAGATATATGATATAGTTTCCAGATTAAAAAATTCTAACCGAAATTTTAGAAAAATAAAAAATAGCTATATCTTAAATTATATGAAAAAATTTTGAAAACTGAAAGTTATAATTTTTAATTGAATTAATTTCCTGATCGTTCCTATGGCAGCTATATGATATAGTAGTCAGATTTTCACAACATTTTGGCTAGATCTACTCGGCTGTTGATGTTGATCAAGAATATATATACTTTATATGTCGGAGATGACTCCTTCACTGCGTTGCAAATTTCTGACTAGAATTATAATACCCTGCAAGGGAATAAAAACTTAAATATTTAAAGGAATTGTATACAAACTGTGTAATAAAAATATATATAATATAATTACGTTTTTTTTTTTCTATCTTTAAGTTACACAGCAGTGATAGGTACATCCTACCGCCATAACAAATTAACATACTTTAATGATATGTTTAAAAACAATGATTAAATTATTTATTTATAGTAGTATTTTATGTTGCAATTTAATGATTTTTTTGTACGATCTTATTATTAGCGATATTTTTTAATAATATAGATCTGTTTAATCAAATCAATTGCCTTATCTGGTCGAAAGTTCATTGAATAATACAGATCAGTTTAATCGAATCATTTGCCTTACGTGGTGATAATCTCGCTGACATGTCTAAATCAGCAGCTTTCTTTATATTTGCGCTTATTCCTTTGTATGTGGTAGCACAATCCCCTGAAGGATCTGTATGTCTACTGGAGGATCCAAAAAACCAGTGCGGATCCTTCTGTCTGTCCGTACTAAAGCCATTGCTCGATCACATTGCTAAACACCAAGACCAGTGGAGTATCTCTGATTCTTTAGGTTTAAATGAAACGCAATCGAAGCTGGACAGGATTGAAGGCATGCAGTTGGCCTTTGAGAAAACTGTAAGGGCAACCATGCAACCAACGCAGGATATGGAAGCGAGACTCAACATTATGGCAAATCAACAAGATATTCTAATTTCTAACGGAAATCAAACCCTCAATAAGTTGGAAAGGACCATTTCGGAGAACTTGGGTGCAAAACTGGATAGAATGGAAAGCCAACAGAAACTTTGGCAGCAGGAACTGATTGAAAAAATCGCTGAGCCGCGGCAGATTTTCGAAGACCTGAAGAGTGCACTGGAAACCCAGATAAAAGATCTTCAGGGAAAACTCTCTAGCCTTCAGAATTCCACGGTATCCAAGTCAATTCCAGTAAACTTCCAAAAGATCGCAAACAGGTTTTTCTACATCGAGAGGCTTTTCCAAAAGAATTGGTTTTCTGCCTCGGATACTTGTCGCCGGATGGGCGGTCAGCTTGCTATCATAGAGAACGAGGAGGAGCGGAGGGCTATTGCGGCTATGGTAAATAAACAGGCCAATTTGGCCTTCTGGCTGGACATCCACAATATGGCCAATAAGTCGGAGTACACATCTTCGGCCACCGGGACAAGACCGCCCTTTATCAAGTGGGGCAAAAACCAGCCAAACTTATTTAATGAGGACTGCGTCGCCCTTGATGATGGTGAAATGCATGATTACAATTGTGCCAGTAAATTGTTCTTCATTTGTCAGGCCTGAAAGGTGTTAAAAAAAATGTTAGATTTTAAAATTTCTTAAATGGAATTTTACTGTCTGCTTTTTCATCAAAATAAATGAAATACCTTTTGTTGCTTAGCTTAGACTATAATTTAAACTTCATGTGCCCTGCTTCGAGTACATGTCCTTTATTATCTGCATGCGTGTCATCTGTGTAGCGCATAGCCACGAGTCCTTAATCCGGAACACCTGGAACTGCTTGCGCTTCTCCTTAAACGGCTTGTAGTATATGTCATAAATGTCGCGCAGTATGCGTTGCACAACAGCCTTTGAGGGCTTTTGCTGGCAATCCCGAAACGTTTGGTTTTTGTGCATTTTTGTGTAATCGCCATCGTCCCACCAAATGGGGAAATCGAGCTCTTCGCATGGCTCCAGCATCTCCTGCTTACATTTTCGACTGGCAACTATCAATTTGTCGTTTGAAATGTGAAAAGTCCAGGATACATCATTATCCGACGGCTCCTCTTTGGTTAACATTTCTACAAGCAGTTCCTCTTCTTGGTCCTGCTGGGCCAGGGATAAGGCCAACTCATCGTCCAGCTCATCCATTTGCTGCTGGGCGGAAGCAGCCTGCTGTTCCTGCTCCTCAAGGGCCAGTTGCAGTTTTAAGGATGCGCCAGGCGGCGGATCGATTGATTGGAACCAACGCAGCTGGCCATTCACGTTGACAGCCTGACGAAAGACGTGAATGGTTAGAGAGAGTGTGACAGAATAAACGTAAAATTGGTTAACTTACAATCACTTGCTTGTCGGTTATGTCTCCTTGGAGCATCGGAGGCTTGCAGGTGGATATTGTGATCAGAGGAGGTTCTTCCTCCTCCTGCTCCTCAGCCAGCTGATCGAGCACTTGCTCCTCCGCCGTTTCCTTCCTCTCGATTTCGAGCTCCACCTCGTCAAGGTTCTCTATCAAGTCGTTGAACAGCTCATCCTGCTGCGCCAGCTCTTCCAGCCTCTTCTCCTCCTCCAGGCTGTGTAGCTCCTGCTCCAGCTCGTCGGCCGTCTGAATGGTTTCCTCGATGCCAGAGTGTCGCAGTTCCAGGTGCCGCTTGAGGTTGGCCTTCCTATCCGAGCTGTACATGCACAGGGAACACTTGTACTCCTTGTGGCTCTTCTCAACATTGTTGTGCACCGCCATGTGGCGTTTCAGGTCATGGGCTCGATTCGTTTCGTACCGGCAGCCCATCACCTGGCAGCGGATCCTGCGGGTTCCTGCGGCCGACTTCAGCTGGGTGTCCGGCTCATCCGGAGTCTTTGGGACTACGACCTCTTTGGGATGTCGGATGGCCACATGCCGCTTTAGGTTGGTGATCTTATCGGTGTTGTAGATGCAGACGGGACAGCCAAATGGCTTCGGTTCCACCGGACGCTTGTGGCGCTCCTCGTGACGCCACAGGTTGTGGGCCCTGTTTGTCCTGTAGGGGCACCTGGCCACGCTGCAGCGCAGGATCCGAATCGTATTGACTTCCATGCATTCGTCCTCCGAGTCGCAATTGTCACTTGGCATCATGGAAATTCCCCAGGGAGCATCAGCCCCCTGCTAATTTTGCTTAATTGTTATTGCTTCATTTATGTACGAATTGTGTCATTTCGGTAGCTGCAAACGTGTCTTTTCATTATCCAATTGGGGAATTGGGTTGTTCTTGTCGCTTTACTCACTTTTAATTCACATTTGGTTCAATTTTTCACCGGCAAAATTAGTTTTTTTCCTAACAAATTTTTCGTCGCTTTTTTTTTTTGTTTTTTTTCGATGATAGCATTTGTTTTGAAAAACTGCTGTTATTTAACATTTTACATCTTACATGTCTAAAGAATTATTTTACACGTTTACATGGGGTCGAATTCTCGAGTTTAGGATCTAATTCACATGTAGGAAGTTGAATCTTATGTATTATGTAAAATTTTTTAACAGACCTGCTCTTATTATAATATATTATATATTTGTTTAGTATTTTGTGATATTTTTTCTCGTCAATCTTAATACCGGAGCTGTTAATTAACATTTTATATCTTACAAATCTAGAAATTCATTTACATGAAGGAAGTAAAATTCATTAACAGCGTAAATTAAAAGAATTCACTCTCGTTATCGATTGTCTAGTAATCGAAAACATTGGAAGTGCCACCAGCGTAGCCAGACTGCCGATAATTGGAAGTTTACAGTGTTGGTTAATGAACTAGTATGTGCTGGTTAGTATGGTATTTATTTTGGCGCGCATTTTGAAAATCAAGGCAAATGCTACAAACTGGTTAAAACTTTATTTCAAATA